GGACACTGAGCCAGCTCTTAGTTTTACTCTGAGAAGACATTGATTACCTGCAATGCTGCAGTGGGTTGAAGCTGCTGCTTAAAAAGGTTGGGGAAGTGAGAAAAATTTGGCTACCATTACTCTGGAACTTGGGAATGCTGGAATTAATTATTATATATAATTATTATTTTGTGTTTTTATTGCATCCATAACTACCAGTTCCAGGCACTGACAGGATTTCACAGTGCTGGGTGCTGTCCTTTCCTCAACACAATTTAAGGTCTTCTGGACACCTTTTTTGAACCTAGTGCAGAGCTGCACTGACAGTGCAATCATTCAGAGTGCAGAAGCTTACACTAGGAAAAAAACCTGCAAAAATATAGCTCATATCAGTTGCCTGAGCAAAAGAAGCTGTATTGGCAAAAAGAAACTTTTTCCCCCCTTTTGCTCATATTATAGCTGTGTCTACGTTAGGGCTTTTGCTAGCATAGCTGAAAAAAAAAATCATACTCCTAGCTGACAGGGATATGCTGACAATTTTTTTAAATAGATGATGGATCAGTGTGTGTTCGGGGGGGGGAGGGGGAGGGGTGAACCTGGTTTAAAATAGAAGTTTCTAAAATTGGTTTGCACAGATACCCTTAAAATGGCAAGTACTACCCTTGCCAATAGCCTCCTGCTTCCTGGCCCTCCTGTCCTTCTCATCCAGGCTCAGACCCCAGCCCTGTATTCCCCTTCCCTTCACCCACACCCTGGTGTGTCCAGCTGGGAACTCTTGCCTGCTGTCCTTCAGTTCTCCATCCTGGCTTCTGCCCTGGCATCATCCCACCTCCATAACCCTGCCCCCCCCTTCCCTGCAGGCAGACACCTTCACTGAAGCTCCAGTCTAACCCCTCTGCTCCCTGAAGTGTTTCTTACCTTCCTCCCAAGGCCTCCATCGGGTGTGAAGGCTCAGGCTTTGCATACAAACAGAAGTCCTCCAAATACTCTCTGCCATTGCAAAATGCTTCATTTCCTTTGGCCAAACTGCACACTGAGTCCAAGAGAGAGCAGAGCGATTCTCATTTCTAACAGGGAGGCAGAGACTTTCCAGAACACCTGGAGAATACTTGGAGGAAGAGATGGGCTGTGATAAGATCACAGGACTAGAGGCATGAAGGTTGGTTCTGTTGCTGCTTGCCCTGACCAGACAATTACTATGTTTCCCTTGTTCATCAGCTCAGGTTGGTTGATTGGTTGGTCCAAATGGCATATAAAGGTGTCATATGCACTAGCTCCTGGGGACGGTATTGATTCCAAAGCTAATCTGATCTTTCTGTGTCATCTTTGGACTAAAGTTACTGCTTTGGTGCATCAGATTCCCTGTGTATAAAATGAGACTTCACAGTCATAAGGTATGAACCTTAATTTAATCAAACTGGAAATGGGGTGAGGTCCTGTGGTTGGTTGAATCTGCTGAAGTGCAAGGAGTAGGGATTAGCTGGTCCCCAGACGACTATCATGCCTTTGAAAGCACAATTTTGTGAAAATAAGTTGCTAAATAACCTGCAGGCGTTATGAGGGAGTAAGGGGTCAGAGGCAAGCAGGGTCCTGAGCAGACAGCAGCCTGGGCAAACGGGTCCTGGAACCACCCACAAGTGTCAGTGTGCATAGCCAGCACCCCAGAGTCCTTACTGTGGTTATTGCAGGTAATTCATAGGTTATACACCTGGAAATGAGGCATATATAATAATTTTTTTAAAAGAGCAATGAGAAGACTTGTTTTAATTTCTTTTCGAATATGAAAGTTTAAGTACTTAAATAGATTTTAACTAAGTAACCCAAGCCCATTGGTATCAATTATCTGTTCAGAGTTTAAACTGACATTTCATAAGTATGTTAATTGATACTGCACTAACTAACTATAGGTATCTTCCTAAGTGCCAATTATCTGCCTCAACATTCCCCACAATTTAAGTTTGTTAGTAAGAAGCTAATTACACTAGTTTATTGCTGATGGAATTACATGAAGAGTAGATTTCACTCTTACATACTTATTAGACCTCAATAAGTGATCCTTAGCAGTCTGTTGCTATTCAATTAACAAGTAATAACTTACTTAATGAATCTAATTGAAATGCTTATTTCAGTCAGGCACCTAACATAAAGCGCTTTACTTTGAGCACTTTTTTGAGTGCTAGTCTTGTTTACTTAACAAGAACAAAATGGTGCCACTGAGGAAAACTCAGGACTGGGACGAGACCTGAACCACTGTTGGCAGAGCCCTGCCAAACATAATCAGAAGTAATCTGCCAGATGATTTCTGTTCTACTGAAACATCATGGGAATAAACCAAGATTTTTGTCTCTCTAAGGGCTTAAATCCACAGAGAGGATTCTGCAGCATGAAATTCTCCTAACACATTAGCTCTGCCTCCTGTGCTGGATGTAAACACACTGGCTGCTCTGCTGGGAGTGCACAGCTCCTCTGCTCTGCTGTGGGCGCTGTCACTGAGTTCTCACTGCAGTTCAACTCCCTTGAAAACTCACTCCTTTTCCTTTTGAGTCTGCAAGTTTAGCTTAAGAGATTGATAGAAGTGTGATGATGGCTCTATTTAATGATCTGAAACTATTAGTATAATTACAGCCAAAAAGAGAATGTAACATGTAACTGGAGGGTTTTATACTGTTCCATGTCCTTCAGTGAGACAGACACTAAATCACTGTGAATTTAATCTTTGCTCACAAGCAGAACCTGTGCTGAGCTGTCTTGAGTGACCACTGCTGGGGTGAGCAAAACACAGTTGCTATGAAGAGACAGGTTCCTAACAAAAGTGGCAAGGAGGTGTGTGCAGTGTATCTGGGACTGCACACGCTGTACCTGGTGAGCCATTAGGTTGGGAGTCTCCTTAATGGGGAAAGGGAGGATTCTCAACTGGGATTTTGTGGTCTTGGGAAGGATAACCTGGTGTGCCCATTTATGGGAAGGCCCAAGAATGGTTGACTTCTAAAGCTATTTTGTTTCAGGATTAAAAGTCTGCTTTCTCCTGTAATGAGTATTTAACAGACAAGACTTGTGTTTGTGGATAAATGCCAGGAAATCTTCTCAAGCAACACTAACACATTATGCCATTTGGCAATATTAGTGTATGGGCAGTAACCTTTCCTCGAGAATTTTTAGCAGATAGATTTAGTGTCAAAAAAACCCATAATAGGCTGTAATATCTTCTCCAGTCTATCAGGTTTGTTACCAACTTTTTAATGTATGCCTTCTACTCATTGAATTGAAAGACCTTATTGATCTCTTTGCAGCTGAACTGATTATTGGGGTAAGAGAGAGACTTCCTGAAAGAAGCCAAGAGAAATTATTCATTTAACATATTCTTATTTTAGTAAACTTCCATTTAACCTCCAGGGTTAATGAAAAAAAAAATTGCTGGTTGGCTGGCATGAATTTATTAAATCAGACAGAAACTGAGTTCAGGCTAGTACATTTAATGTCAACGTTTGTAATAATCTTAGGGGAAAAAAATCCACACAGATTTATTAGTATTGCAGAACTGCTTTATTTTAAAACAACAGCCATAACAGCAAAGGAACCCAGCAAGGAAAGTAACCCCCAAAATGGAGACACATTCTGTACCTTTGGATAGTTCAGAAATACTTAAATAAGGTATTGGGGACTTCGTAGGTCTGTGGTTATTAGCTGAAATCCTTTTGTCATCAGGAGGCATTAGCTGACTGGTCTCTGTAGCTTCTTTGAGTTGGTATTAGGGGATTTGGTCTGCTGTCCAGAGGTGCCATGGTTCTTCGCCGTGTCTACAGAGTGAATGTTGCACATCAGAGCTGGCATCTTTGTTAGTCTGAACAGAGAGCGAGGATTAAATAGGCCTAACAGCTGAGGGGATTTTCAAAGGCATGAGTGGTATTTACACATGTATCTTCTGGTGGTTTCTGTTGGTTTTCCAGACTTGCTTTCAGATTCCTGGTTTGATGTGGGTCTGTCATCCCACTGCTCTACTTGACCCTGTTACGGACAAGCTACTTATGGGCGTTTGATGGAGATTTGGGGAAATTTTCAGAGATACATATGTCAACACCCAAGTTACATCGATGAGATGGAGAAGCCCATTCTCGATAGGAAGAAGTTAATAGAGAACCATCCTGGAGAAGGTTCTGTCTTGTCATTCGTTGTGTGACAAGCTTGGAGGTGGCATAAAAAAGGTGCAGTCTGACATTTTGAAGCTGGGCTCCTCTGATCCTGATTTGACTTTGTATGTGAAGCAAAGGGGAGTGGGGCTGGAACATCCTATGAAGCAGCAGTTCAGGAGAGGAGAAGCCTTTGTTGGAAGGACTATGAAAAAACAAATGAGTACTAAAATACCGAAGTGCAGCTTTGTGACAAGTTAGTTATTGTTCTGTGCAGAATAAGTTAAACTATGTTTCAGAGAACACAAGGAGGAGTGTAAAAAGTCCAGTACTGGATTTAGATAGAAAGTGCTGACACTATTAGCTGGGTGGTATTTGTGCAGGATTTTTATTGGAAGCCAACATCATAAAGCTGTCCATTCTGTCAGCCAGTTTCAGGGCAAACTTTTTCTCCTCCCTCCTGCCATCAAATTGAGGTGACAGGTTTCTAAATGGTTTTCTTCTGAAATTTGACAAAAAGTATATTTTTGGCAACTGATCTTGCTTTGTGTCTTATGTGATATTTTGTCCCTCCTGGCCTGGAATATCTTCTGTAGTTAGAGGCTTTTGAGACATATTCCCTCCCTCAGAATATGGGGAGAAATTCTACCTGGAGTTTTGTTCCTGTGGAAGAGCAAATCCAGTCTTTTACCAACTACTGTAGTTTAACTGAAGCAGCAGGAACTAGCAAGGAATGCTTGTAATATGGGACATATCATGTGTAGTAAAATGTCATTTTCAAGTGCTTTCTGAGCTATCTGTCCTAGTAATGAAGCAGCTCTGAAACATCACATGACTTTCTCACAGTGTGTTGCACTCAGGATAACCTCACCTTTGATCATGATGTCACTTCAGATGAAAGACTCGCATGGAGAGTGGTACGTTGTGCATTAGGATCGGCAGATATCCTCTGGGATCTGAACAGTGAAGGACTATTTGAGATGTGCACTCTATGCTTGTCAAAGAGAAGTAAGTGCTGCGATAAAAATAGAATATTCAAACTCCCCTCAGCCTGGGTAGAAGGAGGACTTCACCTTTATGCAAGAAGACCTGCTTAATCTGAAAGTTCTCCTAGAAAGGGTTTTAAGGGTGAGTAATCATTTTTACTGTCATTCAGTCCAGGATCAGATCAGTGATTTCCCAAATGAGTAGGTCCAGGTGGCCCTGCTTGAACAGGGGTCTTAAACCAGATGATCTTCAGAGGTCCCTTCCAACCTCAATGATTCTGTCATTTTGGTATCTTGATATGCCTACCAATAGAAGTGAAACAAACACCACAAAACACTTTCTTCTCCTTCTGTTAGCACCAGCAGCCCCCTGCAGCAGTTTCAATGAGCTCTGTGGTACCTTTATAAGGCTTTTCTCTCGTGCCTGGGAGCTTTGTGTTTGGCACCTTATGTCCCAGTTGAGCTTTTCTAGTGAATTTAAAAGCAGAGTTACAGCCACACACACCATGGTCCAGAGATGGCAAGAGGACTTCACACACAAAACATCAGCTGGCCTAAGCAAGCCACTTCAGCTTCCATGGCAGTATCTGCTGGAAAACTCTCCAGCCACCAGAAATAGCAGGCCATTCCTGCAGAGGCATTTTTGTTACCCTGAAGCCTTGACCAAACACATGTGGCCAGAGATGATGTTGGGGCTGCGTCCTGTTGCAGCAAATGCTTTCCTGTAGATGTGCTGCCCATTTTGCTTTGGCCTTGCTCACCCCTCCTTAGCATTTGCTTTCAGGGAACGTCTGAGTGATTGAGGGTGAAGGCCTGGCCCCACGCAGCTCTGCCACCTCCTTCGATGGAGTCAGTATTTCACCCGCGCTAACGGTGACAGAGACTGAATGTCAGAGCTGCATGCACAAGCTTTCACAGAAATCAATTCTCACATGCAGCATTAATACTGGAAGTGCTTTTCTCTCACCTAATCGTTGGTGAGGCACAATAACCTGTGACTAATGGCCATTTGTGGTTATACAGCACGGCCTGATTATAAATATTTGCCATTAGTCCGTAACAAAAAAAAAATCTCAGGCTGTTAATTGACCAACATGTATTCCTGAGGAAATCAGAGTAATCAGATGGATATTCATTGCACAGAAAAGGAAGGTGCAGCCAGCTTGTGCATTGTTTTTATGATTCATCTGCTTTTGATTATTTTTTCCTCATGTGAGGCCAGTATTGTAAATCAAAGATTTGAGAAATAACCCTGTGCTTGAAGTGACCCAAATTAAAAGCCAATTGCCACCTTTCTTCTCTTACTAGGCAGCCGTCCATTTCTGTGCAGGAACAGACATATGTTAAAGGCTGTCATGCTGCTGCAGAAGCAAACCAGTGAGCTCATGGGCTGCCTCTGCCAATGGTTAAGGTCAGCTACTGGAAAAAATTACAAGACAGCTATTACAGCCAGGTATGATCCTGCAGAAGGGCCTTCATGGAGAACTGTTACTCTTTGCTCAATTTTGTTCAAGTCAGTGAGACTCTGACCTGGAAAAATTGCTTCTGATTCTCAAAACAAGGACAGCAAGGTGTGTGCAGGTCGGTTTGGGGATTGTGATTTTTTTTTTTTTGGCCATTCAAGTTTTTCAGTCATAAACTGCCTTTTTTGTTGACAAATGGGGATCATTCCTGAAAATGGTCAGGACAGCTTGTCCATGTGGTAGATTTTCTTCTCCTTCCCTACCCTTTAAAGCATTACAGGAGCTTGAGCAACAATCTTCCTGGCTGACATGAAGGGCAGAGGCACCAGTCTGATACAGAGGACGCAGTGTCACCATTGCAGCCCAAGGAATTCTCAACCCTTACCTAAACATTGTGACACTCTGGTCAGCAGCCTTCACTTGGACACAGACTTGGATCTAGTTACAATTTTAACGAGCGGAGCTCAGAAAAGTTATTAGTGACTGTAGGAAAAAAGCAAGTGAGCAGGCCATAAATCAGGCCATCAGATGAATTCAGAACGCACTAATAAAATCAGAGCTTCCAATAAATTTCATTTCAGGCAGAGTAGCAACAGTTTCTCAGTCGAGAGTTCAGCACAGATTATAATTTCAGATGTGTGTCTGGCCAACTCAATATGCCTACAAAAATGTTTGCAAGCAGGCAGCAATGGCTGGTCCAGAGTCAGGCCCTCACACCAGCAGAACTTTAGTAGGATTGAATAAAAAGGTGAGAGTCTCTACTTCTCTGAGCAAAGCTCAGTGTAATTAAATATTTAATGTGTTTTTTTTTTTTTCTCCCAAATCCTTTGGTTTCTTGCTCTTTCATACTGTGATATGATGACATTTGAACAACAAATGCTGTCTTGGTACGTTGGTCTCCTGGTACTGCTTTTTATATGAAAAGCTTGCACATCCTAGCTGAAGTCCAGATGCTCCATTTATGAGGTATTTTGTCGTGATCAATTTTTAAAAAATATTTTTCCATGCCATGAAATTAATAGGCACCCAGGGAAATACCAACCAACTCCTCCCTACTCCTGCAAATACTAACCTTTCCCAGATGGGAAGGTATTTCTCCTTCCCTTTATTTACCTGCAAGATGTCCTTGCTGGTTCTCAGAATCACAGATAGAGAAGGAAACATTAAGTGGAAAATGCTACAAACAGACCAACTGCACTAAGAACACTGCATTCTGAGGAGCCATTTACTGCATAAACCCTGCATAATCTTCCCAGGGTCACAGAGTGAGTCATTAGCAAGACAGCACTAAGACAGAGGCATCCTGATTTTTCTAACTACTCTGATTACTTTAAGACCCCAATTTAAAAGGCCATAGGTTTGTGCTGGCAGCACAGTCATAGAGATAACTACTCACGATTTTACAAATTGGTTTTCTTGCAATCATCTCACTAGTGTGGGCCTGCAGCCCTTTTGTGTTCTGTTCAAAATTATTTTTTTCTATCAAAACCAAAGCAAGGCAGAGATGAGCAGCAGCCTCTTCTCTGCTGCCCCGTGCCCACAGCAGCCCTGGGTGCTCAGGCCAGCTCTGTGCTCTGGGCCTGGGACCTGCCCTTGCCAGGATGATCCTGCCCACCTGCATCAAGCACCCTCTCCGTGCTCATCAGCTGTGGCCATGAATTGTTCTTCAAGAGAGACTTTAGGATGCTTAAAACCAACCAATTGACCCAAGAGAGCATTGGAGGAGAAAAACTGATCCTGTGTTCATTTCTTTTCTTTCCAAGTTTTCCTTATTGCTGCAGTTCCCTTCCAGAATGGGGCGTCTGTAGGTGGGTGCTTTGGCATCATCCTTGGAGACAAAGCAGTTTAGAAGCTGCTGGTATGGCTGCTTAGCCACTGGCTGCCATGTTCCCTTTCTGTTAATAAAGGGAAAGGTTTTCTTGTACTTATTTTTCTAAAAAATGGTAAATATTTGTTTTTATAGACTTCTGTGGTGTTTGCAGCCATCGTTGAGCTCAGCAGATGTTTGGAGAGATGATGGTCTGGCCACACCTGTCCAGCCACCGCGTCCCTCTGGTTACAGGAAGGCTGGTTCAATATAGATCAAAATACGTAATTCTGGAAAATGGTCACTTGGCACATTTTAGATAAAATACAGATGTTTTCTGAACACAAAAAAAGTACCCCAGGATTTGCATTGCAGATGCGCATTTATATGTCACTAAAATAGAAATTTGTAATTTTCTAATGACTTTTAATGCCTGACTAAAAATGCCTCAAGTAGATGTGTGCTTCAAATGCTACAGACTCTCCATGAAAGGACCACCTTTAGCCACACTGGCTGACACTTTGGTGTCAAAGGCATTGTTAATTTTAGTGGAAATTAAGTGGAAAAGCAGCACAGGCTTGCAGCATATGACAGCTGTATGTCTTTGATGCTTCATTTCATGTATAAAGACATCCAATGAAAAAATATAATACACCAATAAAAAGAAATATAAATTTTCTTTGGCACTAGAAAAATATGTATTGAACCATTATAGGTTTGGGAGGCATTTTTGGCTTTTTTTTTTTTTTTTTTAAGTACCATACTTTTTTTACTTTAAAAGATTTTTTTTTTTTAGTAAGATAAAACTAAGTGCCATTGTACTGCTAAAACATGGGCAGCAATTTCAAATGATTAATACCTTGACAGCATAATCTCATAAAAACATAGTTTTTATCCATTATCTAAAATCAAGTTTTAATTAAAAGAGTACGTTATAGTTGTTTTCTGTTACTAAATTATCTTAAGATCAAGTGTGATGTTGGCACATACTAAATATACAGTATATATTTTTCTGCTGGGCTTTACTGTCTGCAGGAAATGTGAATTTCAATTATTAAGCATTAATAAGTATGTAGGAATGTCCTGCTATGTGGGTCTGCAATTAATTTTACCAGTAATTAGCTCTATCTTTTGTAGTCTATATTTTAGAAGGAATACGCTACTGTCTTACAAAACTGTGCTGCATTTGCACAAAATTGGTATTTTTTATACCATAATAAGAAAGGTTTGCCCAGGTGAAACCTGGATCAAGCTCCAGTAAAGGCTTCATATGGGCACACGGGCACATTTTCAAATTCAGTGCAACATGTTGGTGTGTCATGTGGGCAGCCCTGGCTCTGTCCTGTGTTCTGCCACTGCACACTGGTTACTTGGACGTTTTGTATTCACCTCAGGAGGCTGAAAGTCACCTACAGACCCTCACTGCTCCCCAAGAACACCCATGTCAGCGTGTGGCTGCAAGGGAAACGAAGGACTGGTGAGTGTCACCTCCACCTCCGCAATTCCCGTGCGGCTGATGAGCGGCTGGATGGCTCCGTGCCTTCCTCACTGAACTACTGAAGGTAAGCCGAGATTTTTCCTCCATTGTAAACCCAACCACACATCTAAAACCAGCTGCACTAATAATGAAATTACACTCTCAGTACATTGGAATATTTTATTTTGACTTTACATGCGGTGTTAAAAACCCAAAGAACGTATTATTTACACATCCACAATACAAGTTTACAAGATATCTATACATGTTAAAGTACTCTATAGTATAGAGCAGCTTCATTTAAGGGTTACTTTTTTTATGCCGTACCATTAAAAAAGATACAATCTGCGTTTACCTTTGCACAAATGGATAAAGCATCTTTTATTATTAAATTAACAGAATAAGGACTAGGTTGAATGTTAGAAATTTCAACATAAATACTGAGAGAACTCACATTACCATCTACAAGGCAGCACAATGTTACAGGAGGTTATCAGGGTTCACATACATTTATCTTTCGGGTCACACAAGTCTGTATTAATATTTGTAAAGTGAATTCGGATCAGTTTGTGTCTTTTGACAACGGAGTACATTTTAATAGTTATTAATCTGTAGTGTTTTAGTTGCAAGACAGAAGTGTTTAGGAAGAGAGATCATTGATTTTTGGATCCAGAGGTCTCAGGAAATAAATGTCCCTTACAGCCTTACAAGAAGAAATGACTACTTCTATCCTTTATTCTTTGTTCTGTAACAGAGATCCAGTTTTTTAGTGACTAACCTTTTCTCCCCTTTGAACACATAATATAAATCTCCACCGTCTCTGAAACCCATTGCAGTTATTTGTCCCACTAATTCATGAATATTCCTCTGCCATGGTTATTTCTATAGTTATGTTCAATAAACAATGTGGTAGTGTGTAGTTTGCAAGCTAAAATAGCCATCTGTGTTGAACATCAGCTGCAAGTGGATACTGTAAACCCTACTAAATAGCTTACACAACTTTAGCAGGTGTTCCATTACCCTAGAAACCTCATTTGATTTCACATTATAACTGTTTGATCCTTCAGAGAGCTGGAGTGGAATGTTTATCATGGTAAGGTGATTTAATGCTGCTGTCTTCTTGGATTGTAGGCTGCCTTTAGTTACCATTAATTATTCTTGCTTTTTATCCTTTTTTTTTTTTTGGGTGCTGTTGAGAGGTTTTACAACTGGCACTCGGGAGATATGTGCTATAGTGAGAACACTTGACAGATTTAATTTTTTTTTTTTAGTACTTTTATCATTTGCATGAATAAGGCACAAAATGCACAGATTCAGGTAAACTCACACATAATATTTACAGAATATTGTCATTACCTGCATGACTTTGGAAAAAAACAAACCTTACTTTACACAACAAAAACAAATTGATTGCACTACTGTTGAGTTTTCACAGACTGCTTCTGCCAGGCCAATTAATGTTTCTTCTTTTTTACTGACAAGAGTCTATCAGCGTGTAGGGCATAATTAAATGCAACAAAAATGTAACCTTCTCCAGTTACACAGGCGTTTGCCAAGTGAATTGATTAGTAGCTGCCCTCAATGAGAAGTATGGGGCTCAAGTTCACAGTGGCCAGGTATTGGATGGAGGCACTGTGGAAACACAGTAAAACTCCCCCGTTCCAGCCCAAAACACTAGATTTGAAATGCACAGCTCTGAATCAATAGCAGCATAACAGAGTTATGAAGAATTAAACATATCTGCACTCTTTCACCGGGTGACTGTTTCATCAAGGCGTTACCACTCAGGAGGCTGTCAGAGATGCGCAGTTCATCCTTAGCTGGCTCCAAACTGAACCCAACGGGCTGCAGAAGGCAGAGTCATCTGTTTGTTCAGTCATGCTCAATGTAAACAATTCCATAGCATAAAAGATGCAATGGGAATCTAAGTACATCCTAGTGTGTACAGTACACACGCACATCCACACACACGCACAGCTTATCTGTGGCAAAAACAAAATGCCACACACATGGAGAGAAAAAAAAAAGTAATGCTACAGTTGGGCCAGAGACTGAATTCCAGCAAATTGATTATTAACCCAGCTATTCATTGAGACATTACCATTTTCTGACATTTGTGCAAGAGGCAAGGTGAATGCATACATAGTAAAATGTTCACATTTAATGGGAATGACCACACTTAATGGCAGTCTAAAATGGAACCCATTTTTCAAGTATTTGCTTACTGATTTTTTCCCAATAACTGTTTTTAGCTATTTAGAACAGTAACGTAGCCCCCACCCCATTGTGCTACATGTCTCCTTAGCTCCAAACAAAAGAAATGTAATGACCAGCACTTTCCTTTGTTCTTTTGTGTTTGCTCGTAGCAAGTACACGAAGTCTTGCTACAGCTACACGTGGCAAGACACAGATGTTGCTGAAGTAAAGACAGTTTCTTTGGCCACTTTGTTCTCCTTAATAACAAGCAAGTCTCTGTCTTATGTGTCTACCACAACATCATCTCACAACCTGTACAGGTCAATGCCACACTCATTTTAGCACAGACATGTCCTAGTAACTGTATTTGTTCAGTGGTCTGACTGAAGTTGTCTGAGGAACGAATGAGGGTTTTGGTGGCACGTCGGGTTTTAAGGAGGGTGTCCTCTTTATTCCTGTACGAGGAAGGGTGCCGTTGCTCGTGTAACTGCTTTGCCTGGACAAGGAAGGCTGGAGGTGAACGCTGACAGGCGTCCCTTGCATGTAGTCCATCTTTGTGCCTGCCGTGGGGGTCATGTACCCCCCACGATTAATACTTGGCTGTCTGGATAACAACACACCATTTGGTGAGTTTAAGTTTTTAGGAAGGGCAGATATCGAGTGCCTCTGTGAAGAATTTTTGTGATAACCTCTCTGCCTTTCCAAAGAGGTCATTGGTACTGCAGGGGTGGTGGGAACGTCCACTCGTTTTGTGGGACTGTTTCTTGGAAGAGTTGATGGAGGAGAGTATAAAGATGCCTCCCTGTTGGGAACCTTAGGTGGGATCTCAGACATATTGCCCATTGGATCCAGCATTAAAGTCTGGTGGGCCACTTGAATATCTCCCATAATTGCTTTGGGATTATTAGTAGTTTCATTTAAGTGTTTCAGAAAATCATTCAGGGTGTTCCTGGAATCAACAGATCTCCTGTGGTCTCTTTTGCTGGATGGTTTTGTAAGTGGATGATCAATATGTTGCATCTTTTTGTCTGCCTTGTGCGCATTAGAATTTGAGAAAGATGTATTGTAATCATGGGTAGCATTGGGAAGAACAATAGCACTGGGAATATGTCCATGACTTAGAGGAGAGTGGGGTGGAGGACTGGAAGGAAAAAACTGAGGGCTTTTTAGTGGGGTTTCCTTCCGTGAAGCATTGAGGTTACCATGCGCTTTGTCCGACTGGCTTTTCATAGCCTGCAGAGTCTTTTGTTGAAGAACTGGTGTAGATTCAGGAGTTGGAAGTGCAGCTAATTCTGGAGGCTGTCCCCTGTGGTCCATCATCATGGACTTTGTATCACCGTTTGGAGGCAACTCCTTCCTGCTAGTCAGCAGGTTTGTGTACAGTTTGGGTGAATCAATGTTCTGTTGATATTCCTTGACGGGACTGTCAAACAGCCCATTCAGTTTGGCAAAGCTCCCACTGGAGTCCGTGCAGGACTGAGCCGATTCTGCATCTTTGTGTATTTTTCTGGATTTCCGTACAAATATATCCCGGTAACAGTAAACGGCCACTCCCGCAATAAAGGCTCCCAGGACAAAAGCGGCAAAGACACAAGTGATTAGGACATTCATATGTACCATTTGGTTGGACTCTCCTGATTGTACTTCCCACCTTACACCTGCAAAAAACAGGCAGGATATCATAAATCTACAGGTATTCACACTGACACATTTCAGAAGATGACAGCCTCCCTCAGGGAAGTGTCTACTCAGTGTTTGTAAGTGCTCTGGGTGTTGTGTTGGTGTAACTCAGTAGGATTCTGCAATTCACACCACTGGTGAATGCAAATAATTTTATAAATAAAAATGACTTTGTGAGCATTGACCAGTCTAAATGAAGACTGTCTGTCTGCTTTGATAATAAGGTATTCTTGTCGAAGTTTCTCTCTCCTTATGTTTTGTTTAGCCTGTCCCCAAATTTCCTTTAAGGCTCACAAGTAGGGGCCTTATGTTATTAACATTAATGATTTCTGCTGGAAAATTGAGGTTAGAAGGTCCTACTGGGCCAGACAGCAATTAATAACTCATGGATGGATTTCTCTCTCTTTTCTGCCCAACTCATAAATCAGTATCAAAGGAGAGACAGGATTATGCAAATGTTGTGTAAAAATGTACAAAGTACATACTGCATTGTTATAACCATGCTACTGTAATACGGTGCAAAACTTGTGAACTACTCCACCCCCATGTTGCTGGCCCTGTAGTGCACACCTGGCACTATATTAATGTACAAGTCTTGAAGTTCAGGATCATGTGATTCTGTTAGAGCACTAATTTTTATTTCTTTTTTTTTTTAGCCAATAATGAACATAAATACTTACATAACATTAAAAAAAAAACCAACTTGCAGGGTAAGTCATTAGAGAATGTTAAAATTTAGAAACTTTTAGCTTAGACTAAGAAGTTGAATATTTGATTAATTTTTTTATTTGTGTATTAACAAGCTCCCTTTGTTTTTTTTTGATATTTTAAAGCAACCACAGACATCTTGCAGCTAAGACAATGTTAGTTTTTAATGAAAGTAATTCTGTTGCTATCCCAAGAGATGTTAGAATGAAAGAGCAAGAGGGAAGGAACAGATTCGCTTTTTGTTAGAGGCAAGGCCTTTGAACACTGTTAATGTTCAGGGTTACAGGTTTTAATGGCACTGTGCAGAAGAAGAAGGAAAACATGAGTAAAGTTCATTAATAGCTACGACACAAAATGTGATTCAGAACCAAGAGCAAATGATAATAAAAACTTAAAGCAAAACGGAAAATAGCTGCAACAAATTAAAATGACAAATGCACTGCCATAATGGCTGATAGGAAACCTGATATGTTTTGGTGAATGGTAATAAAACACAAATGGTTTTTGGCTGGTGAGATTTTTCAGTAAATACAGAATTGTGCAAACATGTCTGTCACCTCACTGTACTGTGCACTGATGGAGAATTGTGTTAAGTTTTGGTTATTGGATTGGAAGCTTCTCGATTCTGTGGTTGACTGCAGTAGTCCTACTCAATTAAAGTCTCTGTTGCCATAACAGCCTAATCAAAGGTTCACTTAGCTAAGTGAACAGAAGGATGAACTACAGGCAGAATAGGTTTCTTTTTGTGTTTAGCTAAAAATCTCTGCGTGTCTCAGTATGTACTGAGACCATCTGTAAACTGATGCTCATATCCAGAGAATAAAAATTCAGCACATTCTTACTCTGACCCACGTTCTTCGGAAACATGCTCCAGGCAAGCAGTGTTTGGGATATGCCCCATTTAACACACGGATCTGTCACTGAGCTCTGATTTCCCCCCCACCTTCAACCCAAATGAAAAAACCCAAATGAAAAAAACCCAAACATAAGCAACCATTCATGAGGACTAATAGTCTTAACCAAACTAGACTGGTTTGAAAACAACAAACAGAGGTACAGGCAAGTCTTGAAGGTAATTTTTTTTTAATGCATCCAGAACTCCCACTGATTTCAATGGGAGTTTTGAAACATCCCAGGAATAAAAGGCTGAGCTTATTATCTGTGTTTCTCATTATAATCTCTAAGCAGCATTTTGTCCACAGGATAAGTATATATGAAAAACATGATTGCACTGTCTGCATATTCACAGGAAATGGGTGTAAAATATAGCCCAACAATCATGGTTGTTACGTTTAAGCCTTAGGCAATGCTGAGACTATCAGGTTTCCATTCAGCTGCAATGTATTCCCTGGTAAGGCCTTACCCTTTGGGACACCTGATAATGGATCAGAATAATCAGAAGTGTTTGGGTCATCTTGAACTACAAATTTCCGAGAGCCAGTCACTTTAGGTTTCCAGGAACCAATCACTTTAGGTGATATAACTGGGATACTTGCCATTGTGGTAATGGAAGCTGAGGAGAACTTCATGTCTGTGGTGGCAAACAGATTTTTATTAATGTGTTTCATGGCACATCTAAGCTATAACTGGAGACAGTATTTAACGGGAGTTACAAAAAGTGACCCCCCCTACACTCTGCAGAAGTACAGATGGCTGATTAAAATCAATCACTTCAAAACTTTAAGTATGAAAAAAGTACATTTAAACATCAACAGCTGCTAGCCAAAAAGCCAGAGAAGTCAAACATGAAAGCAGTGCAAAAGTTAAAGTAAGCAACTGTGGGGGTGAAAAGCACAACTCAGTCTACTTAATTGCTGTATTCTTCATTGGAGACAACATAGTTGGCTGCCTTTTAAACATCTTCAAAAAAAAAGAAGTTACTTGGAAAGATATACGCTCATGACAGGTTACGCCTGAGAAACCAGATCAGCTCCATTATTGTTATTATGGTATACCTGGAACTGCTGAATGAGCTATTTCTGCAGGTGGGGATAAAAGGAATGCTTTTAACCTCTATTTTGTAATGGTTCTTAAGGAATAATGTTGCATAGATTCTGGCTCTCTGTAGTACGTTTGCTGAACAGAACCACCACAGCCTACGTGAAAACAGACAGGAGCAGGAAACACATCAAACTGGGTTTACAATTCACAGTCTAGTTTGCACACTCAAGTGTTTTGTGTTCACCGTCACAGTAGGTTTAGGCATGAAGGTCTATGGCTCAAGATTGGACTTGAGAAATGTACTTCAAAGGCACACAAATTCAGGACTTGAAAATAAGGTTCAGTTGTATCTGTGTCATAAAATATCACTTTGAAAATTCAGTCAATAAACACTCATGAAGCCAGGCAGCACTTCCGTGTAACACGGTTTTGTTTTGCTTTCCTGAGTCTCTAACTTGCATTATGAGTAAATAAATCTGGAAGATATTCATCTCAAACTTCTTGTCATGTTACAGAAGTGAAAATGTCAGAAACCAAACCACAGAATAATGTTCTTGTTTCACCCTTGCAAATTTAACGTACAAATAGATTATTTTTGTATTTGTCAGTCAGAAATGTGCCCTTGGTTTGAAAGGAAAGACCCAAGTTCCAGAACCAAAGACTGGAAAATAAGGGCTGAGTCTTGCTCCTGTTGAAGTCAACACAGGTTCTGCTCTTGAGTTCAACAGAGGAGCGCTCTGGTGTCCCAGAACACCAGAGGCCGACACTGGAAACACTATTAGAAAAGTCACTGGAGGAGAAAAGGATGTGAAAGTCCATCTGACAATGCACAATGTTCTTTCTATAAGCCACTTTTGTCTACACAAGTTCTCATTCAGCTACACAGTTTGTGATGTTAAATTTTTTGCCATTAGCATAAACTACTTAAAGCATTTCAAAAATATAGAAATACACATTTTAGAAAATGTGTATTTGTGCAAAAAGCTTGCTGGGAAAGAAGGAAAAGAGAAAAGGAGAGGTAAGGAGGAAGATGATGAAGTTCTGCCATTCATCTACTAGAGATGACCAATAGGGGCATTCACAAACACATGGCTGGGGATAAAGAGTAAAGCTTAGTGGACTTCGTGCAGTGAAGATGTCATCTATGTTAATCAGGCTCTTTAATAAAAGATGGCTCAATAAATAATGAGCTGTTAACATGCGGCTACACAGGGTGAAGTGCTGAGTGAGAAGAGTCTGACTATCTTTACCATCAGTGGGAACATGAGTAAAAGCACAAAAATGGAGGACTGCCAACTGTGCAAAAGGAAGGAAAAAAGGGCTGAAAATGCTGAACTGAAGGAAAGTAAAGGTCATTAATTCAAAAAATTAAAAAAAACTAACCAGATGTTGGGTCGCCAAATATTTTGTAATCTGGTGTAGCTGTAGTAGGCAAAATTTCTAAAAGAATTAAAGGAACAAGTAATCAGTAAAAAGTAACAAAAAGAAAGCAAAAGATCTCAAACCTGAGTAATGGAAAATAAAAACTAAAATATTACTGCTTATAAAAAATAAATTCTTCAATACTTTGCTGTAGACCCCAAATAGTTGTAAACTGGTGAAGGAAAGACAAAAACTCTGCCACCCAGGATCAAAAAGCTCAGCTTTGTGAACATTCACAGTAACACCAGGTGATGTGTTCATCATGTTACTGAAAAGCTCATCAGAAATTTAACATCCACAGTGAGGTGTGGCCACAGACTACAGTGAGACATTACAAAGGAGCAGCATCGACTGTGCCTTACCATGGCAGTCCCCAAGCTGCGCCGTGTTGCCGTACTCGACATCTTGTACGTATCCTCCAGTGCTGTGGTTGTATGAAACAAACAAAGAGAACCTGCAATTAACAGTATTAGTAAGGATACAAATGGAGATTTTTATTTTTTTTTTCCCCTGGAAGCAGCAAATAGAAACATATCCAACAGCCAGTGTATGGCCCAAAGAATTCACAAAATGCACAAGTTAGCTATAGCCCAGGCTTTAAAACTCTTTGTGTGTGCTTATGCCAGGAAATAGAAAAAAAAAAATCCCTTTTTTTTAGCAACTGCATCATGTCTTCTCCATTGGGCATGCTCTTGGGTTTAGATACAACGTCCAATTATACTAGTTAAACTTTGCACTGGCCTGCTACAAAGGCCTCTTTTTAAGATACAGCTGCTAATGCACCATATATTACAGACTTGATTTGTGCAAAATGCCTTTGGTATGCATATATATCACCCCAGCTCCAGCACAGAGGCACAACCTTACTCTTCCCACTGTGAATCCTGTGCTTTCATATTTGCAATTGGCTGTGCCCTGGCCGGGAGCATGCCTGGGAGGGGATACTCTGGACTCTCCTCTCTGAGCTGCTCAGGTTTGCAGGCAGCCTTCCTGCTTCCAACTGCTCTTCCTACAAGTTTGCTCATCCTCCTGCACATGTAAAACTCCCACTGAAAGCAAGTCTTCACCCAAAGGTTGCAGAATTAGGCCAGACTTTAGCATTCTGTTCTCTTATGTGCACAGTGCACTGAAAAAACATGTTTAAAAAAATGGAGATTTATTAACTGTGTGCAAGGGAAGAGGCACGGGATTTGAGCTCATGGGGTCTGTAAAGCATATACAGAGATGCTGGGCTAATTTGAAAAGGAGTACTTACAACATGCCTGGTGTCACTCTTCCACAAGTCTCATGGTCTAACCAGCCGCAGTACGGGTCCCGTGAAGCAATACAAGCCCTTGCAAGAGAAAAACCCCAAAAAAATCATGCATTTTTTACTTCCTTCCCAAGAGATGTTGGTGCCCTTCCTTTAAGGGGGAATTCAGGAATGTAACCATACTTTTTACATGACCCGTGACGCTCACACCGACTCAGAGGAATTCTAATGACGCAGCTGGAGAAGGCCACGAACAGAGCATGGTGGTCTCTGTCCAGCTGAAGGGAAATGACTCTTCTGTCCTCCTCGCTCTCTCCATTACACCTGTTCAGCAAAAATAATGGGAGGTCATTGCTTTAGTGAC